GTATCTCTACTTGCATTTTGAGAACATCACAAGATTATATTTGATATGTTGAACACTAATCAAGAAAGACCAGATGAGTTGTGCAATAACATTAAGGATATTTTACATGAAGAAAGTAAAGGGTTTTTCAAAAGCCAGGAAAGAAAGAAAAGTGCAAAATGGATGTCAGAAAAGACTCTGCAATTTACTGTAGAAGTGAGAGGAGATAAAGCGAAAGGAAAAAAATAATGAAGTAAGAGAGCTGAATAGAATTCAAAGAAGAGCCAAAATAAAAAAGCAAAGAACAACAAAATGTGCCAAGACTTGAAGTTAGAAAACCAAATATGAAGAACACACTATTTCTCAAGCTGAAAGAACTGAAAAACAAATGAAAAACTCCAGTTTGAATGCTAAAGGTTTCTGAGTAAAATACTGAATAATGTTAAGAAAAATACAGAATGAATATTCAGTCACTATACCAAAAATAATTGGCCAATATAAAATTTCAGGATGCAGCTTTGCTCAAGAACCAATGATAACGAAAAAGAAAAACAAGCTGTACTAACTTTATTCATCTAGTACCAAGAGCTGTGCTGCAATCCCAAAGGCCTGAGGTTTGAGGCGACCAGCTGCTCTGTGGGAGAAGGATGGGCAATCTCCTTCCAAGTGATTAACTGCCTCTGAAAATCCATCAGAGGGTTAGCTATGGGTTGGTTCTGACTTGCTGGCACACAACAACAGCAATAAGACAGAATAACAATTAAGCTGTTTCAAAAAAAAGATACACCCCTGGACATGCTTATTCACCCATGTTGAAAGTTGAGTAAGTATCTTGAAACAAAGGTACTTAACTAACTAATGCTCATTAGAAAAAAATCAAAAAAAATATGGAATTTACAGAATAATATTACTAATATCACATGAGAGTATAATATTACTGAAGACTAGTCAATAAGAACAAAAGAACATCAAAAGGGAAGCGGTACATCAAAAGGGAACTTCCAGAAATTCAAGATCCATAATCAAAACCAATAGAAGTAAAAGAAATTAAATGATATATTACATTAGATATATCTACTGTTGTTGCAGAAGGTCAAGGACTGCAGTCTTCAACATGGATTGTAGCTCAATATCAAGAAAACAAAGATTCTCACCATGGGCCAATTGGCAGCATCATGATAGATAGATGAAGAAAGGATTAAGATTATTAACAGGTTAATATTATTTAACAGCTTTAATTTGCTTGGCTCTACAATCAACATTCTTGGTTCCAGCAGCCAGGAAATCAAAAGACAAATTGAATTGGGAAAGTCTTCTGTCAGAAACCTCTCCAAAGTACTGAAGAGCAACAATGTCAGTCTGGAGACTAAGGTGTGCCTGATCCAGGCTGTAGTCTTTGCAATTACTTACTATGCATCAGAAAGCTGGACAGTGACTAAGGATGATAGAAGGAGAAGTGATGTCTTTGAGCTATGGTGTTGGAGAAGAGTACCATGGACTGCTAGGAGAACAAACAAGTTTATCCTAGAGAGAGATCAGGCTGCTCCTTGGACACAAGAATCCTGAAGCTTTGTCTGACATACAGACATGCTTGGGAGGGTGGAGGGAGAGCACAGGAAAGAAAGACCCTTGATGAGATGGATTGTTTCAGTGACTGGGGTAATGGGGCGTAGGTGTATCAGAGACAATAAAATTGACACAGTATAGAGCAGGATTTAGGGATGTTGTACATTGGATCACCTTGAGTCACAGGGAAGTCGGTAGCACATAACAACAAAAATTGTCAAATATCTCTTTAAAGTGCAAAAAGAGCAAGGATATCACATTAAAGACTAAGATGTACCTGGCTCAAGTCAATGTATTTTAAATTGCTTCATATAGATGTGAAAATTGAATACTGAATAATGAAAAGCAAAGAAGCATTGGTGCCTTTGAATTGTGGTGTTAGTAAAAAATATTGAATATTCTCTCAGCTGCCAAAAGAAGTGGCAAATCAGTATTGATAGAAGTATGACCAGAATGCTCCTTGGAAGTAAGGATGGTGAGACTTTGTTTCATATGCTTTGGCATGTTATCAGCAGGAGCCAGGTCCAATATCATGCATGGAAAAGTAACACTGGGGGGGAAAAAAGGAAGACTTTCTACGAGACAGACTGACACTGGCTCTAACAATAGGCTTAAAGACAGAAAAGATGGTGAGGATGATGCAGGACTGGGCGAAGTTTCATTCTGCTTTTCATTGAGCAGCTGTGAGTTGGAGTCAGATGGCATCAAACAAGTACAGGATCTAACTGACTAAGGATGCTCACATAGGTGTTTAAATTCCTGAATGTTTCTTTAAAAGAAGAATCACTGAGGTTCTGAAGCAAAACAAGAACAAACCATATCTAGACGAAAATGTTGGGGATGAGTATCATTTAAGTTAGAACCAGCCTACAGCTGACCCTCCAGTGGGTTTTCACAGGCAATAAATTGCACCTTTCCCCTGTGCAGCAGTTGGTGGATTCTAACCGAGTGCCTTTGGGTTGGCAGTTCAACTCTTTACTCACTAGGCCACCAAAACCACCAGAGTTCCCTAGAAGAAAACTAGAGAGGTCAATTATAATGTCTTCGAGTCATTACTTAATCTGTCTGGTTTAAATAAAAACCCACCATCATCAAGACAGTTTCGACCTCAGGTGTCCAAAATAGAAATCTTTCCGGAAAGAGACTAGTTATCTTTGTCACAAGAAGTGGCTAGAGAGATTGAACAATCGATCTTCTGAATGACAGCTCAACATGTAAAGCACTATGCCACTGCTGTTGTTGTTACATGAGATAGAGTCAGAACCAACTCATAGCTGACCCTCCAGTTTCAGAGCAAAAATACATAAGAGTAATAATGTCAGTTGGAAGTCTAAGGTGTATCTGATTCCAGCCAGTCTTTTCAGTCACTTCCTATGCATCTGAAAGCTGGACAACAAATAAGGATGGCAGATAAAAATAATTGATGCCTTTGAGTTGTGGTGTTTGAGAAGGGTGCTGAATATGCCACGGACTGCCTAAAGAATAAATATAGGTCTTGGGAAAGGTGATACAGAGTGTTTCTTGGAGGCAAAGATGGCAAAACGTGGTCTTTCAAACTTTGAATATGTTATGAAGACAGGTTTTCCATGGAAAGGATTATCATGCTTGGAAGATCAATGAAAGAGAAGAAGACCCCCTGTAAGACAGGTTGGTACAGTCACTGCAGCAAAGGGCTCAAGCGTATCAGAGATGAGGAGGATGACACAGGATAGGACAGGGTTCAAGACTGTTATTCACAGATTAACTCTGAGTATTACTTGACTCGATGCCACCTCACAATAATAGCATCATACAATTTAATCCTTATAGAAATTTAATTTTGTTGTTGCTCCTGTTGTCATTAAGTACCAGTAAGGATTGACCCATAGAAACATAACTCTGTGCAACAGAAAGAAACATTGGTCCTCCAACACCACCCTCACTGTCATTGTTGTGCTTTAGTCTATCATCACAGCCACTGTGTCAATTTCTTTTACCAAAGCCCTTCCTCTTTTGCTAATCTTCCTGACAACATGTCAAAAGTGAAGTCTCATCATCTTACTTCTAAGGAGCATTCTGGCTGCACTTCTCCTAAGCCAGACTTGTTCATTCTTCTGGCAGTCATCGCTGAGAGAACCTGCTGGCATCTGAAATATTTATGGCATAGGTTCCAGCATCAAATAGCATTCAAACAACCATAGTACAACAAAGTGATGTATAAGTGGTGGAAATCAAAACAAGAAACTTCCCTTGTAAGGATTAGAAAACTTAAGAATAGCAGAACTACCACTTAGAAAACTCATTCATCACTCACTGCCACTGAGTTTATTCCAATTTATAGCAGCTGTTCATTGACGTTCTAAGGTTATAAACCTTTATGAGATTGTTGTTGTTGTTGTTGTTGTGTGCTATTGAGTTGCCTGAGACTTATAGTGACCCTGTGCACAACAGGTCTGAAGCCTGCCCTGTCCTGATCCAGTCTCACTGACTCCAAAACAGCTACCCCCATTACCCCAGTTACTTTATCAATCCATCTCATCTGAGGACTTGCTCTTCTGCACCTTTTCCAAGCATGATGTCTTTCTCCAAGGACTGGTCGCCTCCCAGTCATGTGCCCAAAGTATGTGAGACAGAGCTTCAAAATCTTAGCCTCCAAGGAGAAACTTGGTTTCAACCTCTCCAAGACAGATCTATTTGTTAAAATGATCATTTTTCTCCCTCAAAGCTATTGGTTGACTCGAATCAGCAGAGATAGGCGCCCTTTTGGTTAGCAGTGCAACATGCAACAGACTACACCACCAGAATGAAGCAGATACACATAAAACATCTCACCTCTGTAGTATTCCACAAAATAATACATCTTTTAAAATTTTAAAGTCGTATTAAATTCTGAATAGTAACAGACCATTTTAAAACCTAAAGACTTCCATTGGCTTGTTGTGGATTTTGTTTGTTTAAAAAAAGAACTGGTCTTTTATGATCTATCCTTTAAATGGTGATTGTTACTGAGATTTGAGTGATGTGAGCTGAGTGATGGACTGTTCCATCATGTAGATCTTTCAAATGTCTATCAAGCACAAAAATGTTGAAAACTTATGGTAAATCATTAAATTTAGCATTATAATTAGATTCAACATTGCATAACTTAAAATAACATTTCCTGACACCTATCTTTCCTAACCCCAAAAAACAATGGGGACATTAAAAGCTTTAATGAATAATTATTGCACACTGCCTCTGAAACAGTGGTTTCAGGATATTTTTACTAACTTCCATCACCTGAACTACTTAAGTGCTTTGACAAGTATGACAAGTACTCACAGTGAATCATGACTTCAAGAGCAACATGTCTATACAGGCATTCCCTACTAACTGCTGTTTTTTTAAAAAAATTTCAATTATTTAACACTGACATTTACATTTTTACCAAATCATCTAATTTATCCCACTCTTAATAGCAAATGGGGAACACTTACTTCCTTCGGTTTTCTCATCTTCATAGGTTTTCTGGGAACTATATGAAAATAACTGCAAATGAAGAAGAAGCAGCATAATTAGAAGACAAATATTTTAGTAAAAAGTTTGAGCCTCATTAGAGATAACTTCTTTTGAACATTAAAACATATATACCTTCAGTCATTTAAAATGAAAATAAAGATCATTGTAAAGCCCAAAATCCATACCAATATACATCTATCAACTTTCTCATTAGCAGACATTTTAGTTTGCAATAGTAAAATTTTATTATAAAACAATTTCTTATGCAAATAACTTTCACATTAATAATATGTGTCAAGTAGTAATAAATGTCAAGGTGTGAGATGAAAGTAACACTGGGTAGTAAAGTTATGTGTCAATGTGACTGAGCCATGACTCTTAGAGGTTAGGCACTTATGTAATGACATAATTTGGCAGTCACGTAATAATGTAATTTGGCAGTTAATTATGTAGCTATCATCCATTTTCACTTAATATTATCACATAAAGGCATTGTTTTGGGAATCTAACCATGTCCATGTCAGCAATGGTGACCAGGTACCGTAAAGTTCTGCTAGTCTCTTTTTAGTTCTTCCGGGTCATGAAGACTTACTTAACTTAATGAGTAACACATTTCTTGATGGTTGAAGACCTTTGGAGTTTTCTATTGTACATAAGAATAAGTAATATCTAAGATTTGCATCTGATGCTAAGAATGTTTCCGTATTAATATATAAAGATATTCAGAGTGTTGTCACTTTTAATGGTTTTAGCACTATGTGAAGGATAGATTTAGAGTTAGTAAATGAAACAAAACAAATTCTTAAGAATCTGAAATAACAAGAAAAGGCAAATATATACACACCAAAGTTTCTTCATTAATAGTTACTAAAGTGGGATAGAAAGGGGAAAGAAGGGCTAACAGTGATGAAATAACATTAATTAAAGGAAAAGTTGTATAGACAATCACTAATTACTAATACTAAATTGCAAGTTGGACTGCTTCACCTTAAAATAAAGTTGACTATGTAAGAGAACAATGAATGAGAGAGCTCTGTTAGCCTAGTGGATAGAAAGTGATGCTACCAAGCCAAAGGTGGGTGATTTTAATCTGTGGCCTTCAGGCCTGGTTTTAATTGTTTTAGTCAAACATTCTTCTAAGTGGTGTAGCATAGATCTCTGCCTTGTTGTACAGAGGTAACTCATGGTTGCTATGACGCTGAACACTGTGACAATGATGTGCCAAATATGATAATGGTTATCCATGGTGGACAGTTCTTGGTGGAGCTTCCTGATTAAAACAAGCTTGGAAGCAGAAGTGGCATCTACTTCCGAAATAGCTTGCCTCCAGAAACTATAAACTTGGAGAAACAATAAAAGTTATACAAGTGTTCAGGTCTTTGGTTCATAGGGTCACTATGAGTCATCTATGACTCTACAGCACTTAACAACAACAATATGGAGTCAAAAGTCACAAGTCAGATGTCTATAAAAGCCAAGGAGATCATAATAGAGAAGTAATGGATACAATAATAATAAGTAAGAGGGCGTAAAGCTTACAAAGAATAGTAATAGGGAACAGCGGGGAGTGTGGCAAGTAAGAGACTACTTCTCCATCTAAAATCAACATTATTGTTCTGGGGGATTGGTTTGTTTTGTTGGGTTTTTGGGGTTTTTTGGACATATGAACAACTAAAATTAAATCCTTTGAAAAATCAAATTCTCTCAGATTTTTTTAAAATAGAAATCAAAAATTTATATTATTAAATGAACTTTCTTTTTTTATTTTATTTTAGTAATTTAAATGAACATTTACAGATATTTTGGATTTCCATTCATTCATTGTTGCCCTTTTCTCCCTGCTCAGCCCTGCCCCCTGCCCCCAATGAACTTTCTTAATTCTAAAATGTTGACAGTCAATTAAAATATTAAAGAACCAGAGTCTCCAATTTACAACCTCTGTTTATAGACCCTTAAATCAATTTTTCACAAGAATTTTGTTGTTGTTGCTGTTATGTGCCGTTAGGTTGCCTGTGACTCAATAGTGACCCTATGTACAACAGCCCTAAACCCTGCTCTATCTTGTGCCAATTGTGTTGTCTCTGACACACCTACTGCCATTAGCCCACTGAATCAGTCCATCTCATCAATGGTCTTCCTTTCCTGCACTGTTCCTCCACCCTCCCAAACATGATGTCCCTCTCCAAGGACTTGCCCTGCCTTGCAACATGTCCGAAGTATGTCAGACAAAGCTTCAGAATCCTTGCTTCCAAAGAGCAGCCTGATTTAACCCTCTCTAGGATGAACTTGTTTGATCTCTTAGCAGTCCCTAGAATACTCAATACTCTTCTCCAACACCACAGCTGAAAGGCATCAATTCTCCTTCTATCATCCATAGTCATTGCCCAGCTCTTCAATGCATAGCATGTGATTGCAAAGATTATGACCTGCATCAGGCTCACCCTAGTGTCCAGACTGACATCACTGCTCTTCAGTACTTTGGAGAGGCCTCTAACAGCAGACTTTCCCAACACAATACATGTTTTCATTTCCTTACTGCTAGTGCCAAGAGTGCTGATTGTGGAGCCAAGCAAACTAAAGCTATTTAAAATATCAATCTCTTCATCATCCATCACAAAACTGCCAATTAGCCCAGTGGTGAGAATTTTTTTTTTTACAATAAGCTTCTATCCATAATGAAGACTGCAATCCTTGACCTTCTGTAGCAAACATTTCAGGTCTTCCTCAGCAAGGAAGACAGAGAACTGCCAGAAGTGCAGGCTGGGTTTAGAAAAAGCTGTGGTACGTGGCATATTGTAGCTAATGTTAGATGGATCTTAGCTGAAAACCAGGAGTACCAGAGGAATGTCTATCTGTGTTTCATTGATTATGAAAAGGCGTTTGACTTTGTAGACCACAACAAACTGTGGCTGACTCCGAGAAGAATGGAAATTCCAGAACACGTGACGATGCTTATGTGAAACGTATACTTGGACCAGGAGGCAGACCAGGAGAACAGAGCAAGGGAACACTCCATGGTTCAAAATCAGGAAGGGTGTACACCAGGAATGTGTCCTATCTCCATACCTTTTTAATCTATATGCAGAATAGATCATCCAGGAGTCTGGGATCTGTGAGGAGAAATGTGGCATCAGGATTGGAGGAAGACTCATCACAATCTGTGTTACGAAGATGCCACAACCCTGCTTGCTGAAAAGCATCTTGTAGTCATTATTTTTCCAAGCAGGTGTTATAAATTAGTTATAAATTTAAAAATTCTTTTAAAGAAAATTCTGAATTTGATTGTGATCATTGCTCACCAAATGAGAAAACAAGTTATCTATAAATAAAAAATAAAACCAATAAAGATATAAAAATAATCTATTAAAGTACAAAATACTATTTACCAATTTGATGTTACATTTCAAAGAACATATAGATAGAAAAGAAGAGGGAACAATTCCTTGAAGGCACAATGGAACAGGATCTTTACACTCAGAATCGTGAAAAAATGTTCTTGTTGGACTTAGATTTGCTTAAATATTAGAATCTCATCTATTTTGAACATGCTGCCAGGAGGGGCCAGTTGTCAGGAAAAAAAGAAGCCATGCTGTACAGGTGTCATAGAAAGAGAGGAAGACCCTCAAAAAGATAGCTTGGCACAATGACTAAAATTAGGCTGATGCATATCAACGATTAGGAAGATGGTGCAAGATAGGGCAAGCCTCACTCAGCTCTGTGGTTCAGAAGGTGGCTGAGCTCAAGTGTCACATCACACAACAGCGTATGAAGCAATGACTGCACAGTTCATATGCAATTTCACTTTTTACTACTCCAGAAAATAAAAACAGGGAACAATTATCAGTACTATGATCATGATTGGTATTTTAGTATATTATATTTTATTTGTTTCTCGCAAGAACAGTATGGAGTCAATCTTGGTTAATCCCATTTTATTGATGAGAAAACTAAAGCTTAGAGAAGTTATTAAATTTGATAAATGTCACCCAGATAAAAACAATATTCTGTCTAACCTAGGTCTTCTGACTCATAGACTAGAAAGCCTCAGTCTATAACAAGTGGTTCTCTAACCCCTTTCACATTGCCCTTGACCCCACAAGGCATAAATGAATTGTGAAATTTGAGAACTAGGATAGGGTGTAGAAGAACAATAATAGTTTGAAAGGAAAAAACCTTTCAAGTTTGTATCTCAACAACAAATTCACAAATTTAATAAGACAATATTCTTATCACAGTTCAAATTATTTGAGACCTCCACTCCAAAGTACATATCCCCCACACTCTGATCTAAACTATGCTGCAAACATGACTTTTCAAATAAAATAAATAATTTTACTCTTTATAGGACATTTGTCTGAAAAGTAATTACTGGCTTATAATATTTTGTTTTATAAGAAAAAATCATACTCTTCTCAAATGAATTTCTTTTGGAAAATGAAAGAAATATGTGAATAATGACTCGATAGTGGATAGATTTTCATGGTGTTTATCTTTTCAATGGGCCATTTCAGAGCAATTATTATGAAAGAAGTACCAAGGTGGTTAATATGTTACAGAGTTTCACTTCAAATCCTTTTAATGGTGGTATATTAGCATATTATTTTCTGGTGAAAATTAACTTTAACTGCTCAGCTGCTTAGTAATTACAGTGTATGTATTTTCAACAAGTGTTAACTTACTGATCGATAATTCATTGCCATCAAATCAAATGTGATTTTAGCAACCTTATACAACAGAATAGAATTGACATATTAAGTTTCTAAGCCTGTAGTCTCTATGGAAGCACCCTGCCACATTAGCTGGTGAGTTTGATCTTTTCATTAACAGCCATGCACTTAACTACTGAGTCACCAAGACTCCTTCAGTTTACTAATTCAATTGGAAATCAAACAAAAATATCTTTCAGACTTTTATTTGCCTCAGGCTGCATTCAAATGTAATACTTCACTAACCTAAAAAGTAATAAGAAAATTAAATACTAAGACTTCTTCATATTGAACTTCACATACAAGAAGAATCCATTTTGAAAA